GGGGATGTGGCTCAGTGGTAGGGCATGCCTGAGTTCAACCCCCAGTACTAAAACAAAACAAAACAGAGCATGGTTGTGTTCTGCTTGGTGGGAACATTACCCTAGAATTTAGCACCACACCTGGCCATAACAAGAGTTCAAATGGAATGCGCTAAATGAATAAATAGAACGGAAAAAAATGGGTTTGCAATAACTGCCTTCTTACAAACTTTTCTCCCCAAGGTACTGTCATTTTTATTTTACAGATGAAGGAAAACTTTTTCTTTTTTGAACTGGGGATTTAACACAGGGATTTAACACAGGGGTGCTCTACCTCTGAGCTACATCCCCCGTCCTTTTAATTTTTTTTTTTTAAGACAGTCTCATAAGTTGCTGTGGTGTCGCTAAGTTGCCCAGAATAACCCTTGAACTCGCCATCTTCCTGCCTCAGCCCCCTGAGTCGCTGATCACAGGTGTGCATCACTGCGCCCGGACAGGTGAAGGAAGATTTAACAGACACAAGTAATCTCATCCTGAGAAACTTTTATGTGGAGGCTAATACGAAGACCCTCTGGAGAGAAAAGCCATGTTTAATTGTCATGGTGCCATGTATGTAAATGCAACCGCATTTTTCACAGTGCTAGAGCCGCAGTTGTTTGAGGAGGAGATGGAGGTCTGGGGTTTGTTCACTCCAAAAAAGTGGCGAGCACTCTAGCATAGTCTTTGTTCTATTTTCATATCAGAGTGTGCAGGTAAAAAGGAATCCCCTCATCTCCTTTAGCTGTGAAATTAGGCTGAGCATCAACACAGCCTCTCTTCCCCTGGAAAGTCTTCCGACACTCCCGTCCAGGGTTAGGAACTCCCCCTACTGTCTCCATGGGCCTGTCTATGCCATTCCAGCCCTCTGCATCTGATCTGCTGACTTATTTTACCCCCTGCAGATGGAGCCCAGACCCAGGCAGAAGCTACATCTTGTTTAGTTGAATCCCCGATGCCTAGCACAGTGTCCGGCACACAGTAGGTGCTCAATATCGATTTGTCAAATGAAGGAAAGCTCTGCCTTTTCCGAGATCTTCTCTGTTTCAGAGTTGTGTCCCTGGGGCTTTAGCTGATGGCCCTTCCTTCCCGAATGTGCCCATCCTAGGTCCCCAGCCTCTGCTGCCCATCCCCCTCCAGCCAATGACAGAAGAATGCATCAGGACTGTGTCTGCTCCCTCCATCCGTTCCTTTCCTCAGAGTCACCATGTGTCCCAGAGTGTGTAGGAGCGGGCAACCCATTTGCTCACCCTGCTTAGCCAATGATCACCCCATCTGTTGGATGTTTGCAAAAATGCAAACATTTCAACCAGCAATGGACACTCATTATTTGGAATCCCCACAGGAAATAGTACTGCCCTGGCAGATAAGGAAACTTCGACTCAAAGAGGGCTCAGTAACTTGCTCAAGTTCATGCAGTAAAGATGGAGGAAGGGAGGGACGCGGGAAGGAAGGAAGGAAGGACCGAATCAACGAAGCAATGGCAAATGCTTTAGTGACTCAGGTGCAAATTCTGCTTTCTCTCCCGTAAACATTGGGGATGGATCAATGAAACTAAAGGAGCCAAGTGGCTCTGGGGATTCCTGAGCTAAGAAAGCTGGGAACAGGAAAGAGGTGACCCTGGTAGAAGCAGCTCTGAGCCACCTCCAGTTACTCAGTAACCTCAGCTTCTTGGTCCCAGGGGCAGCCTGGCCGGGCCGGGCAGCACACGCTAGTTCCCTTTGGCTACCCTTCAGGTGCTGGGGCTGGTCACAGGTGACCAGAGATAGAAGGTCAAAGATTGGGCAGACTGCAGACCAGTCAGGATGGGAGCTGGCGGTGCAGTATCCCCTCTGAGGCCTGGGATAGAGGGAGGAGTGAAGGGAGGAGCCCCTCACCGTGACGTCAGGGCTACCAAGCCCATAGAAGGCAGGAAGGGAGGACCAAGGGTCTGGCATAAGCTGGTGATCCAAAAGGAAAACGTGGACTGAACCTCTCCACGGCATTTAGTGGTAGGTGATCCAGGGTAGACCTCCCAGGCAGCAGCCTGGCAGGGGCGTCCTTGGGGGTAGGGGGAGAGTGGACACCCTCATAACTGGTTCTTGCTCTTTGCTGGAATAGGGCTGATACTAGCTGGCACCCATGGATTGTTAAAATAGCAAGATCAAGCTGGGCATGGCTGGGTACTGTGGACATGCCCATGATCCCAGTGATCGGGAGACTGAGGCAGGAGGATGGCCAATTTGAGGCCAGCTTCAGCAACTTAACGACACACTGTCTCAAAAAGGGCTGAGGATGCAGTTCAGGGGTAGAGTGTTCCTGGGTTCAATCTCCAGTTTGGGGGTGGGGGGGGGACAAAGGGAGACAGCAGGTGTGACAGAAATGGAGGAAGCTAGAATCAGAGAGGTAGCACCCAGGTGCTGGGAGGGCCCAGTCCATTTCTCCCTGTTCTCTGGTTCTGCGGGTTTTCAAGACTCCTCCCCTCCTAGGTCCTGTCTAGAACCTGCTGGGACAGCCCAGAGCAAGCTGGCTTCCAAATGGGGCTCAGGACGTCTCTGGGGCAGAAGGTTAGGCCTGGGAGGAGCCCCCAAATGCTGAATCATGCTCCAAAGGCTGATGACCAGACATCCTCCCCACCGCTTCTCTAGGGGGGCCGGAAAACAGCCTTCCTGCTGACCAAGGAGAGATAGAAAGTCTCTGGGGAGGGGCCACCCAGGACCAGATAGACTATTGAGCCCCTGGAAGCCAAGCTACCTAGGCTGACCCCTGCTTCCTCGTGTGCCCTGGTTGGGCACTTAGGTGAGGAACACCGGAAATGAAGAATCCACTTGTCAGGCTGGGGCTGTGGCTCAGCCGTGGAGCGCTCACTTAGCATGTGCAAGGCCCTGGGTTCGAGTCTCGGCACCACATAAAAATAAGTAAACAAAATAAAAATATTGTGTCCAACTACAACTAAGAAGTAAATATTAAAGAAAAAAAGAATCCGATTGTCCTCCAAAATCCAAGCAAGACTGGAGGCTCAAGTCCCTGAGGGGAGGAGGGGAGGGGGAGAGGTAAACTGGGGGAAGGGGCAAAGGAGAGAAAAGGAAGAGGGTCCAGAACTCCACTGTGTCACTATCCCTGCTCAAGGACATTCCTGAGAAGGGGCAGACCTCTCATGGACTGTAAGTGCCAGGGCCTCTCACCTACTTAGAGCCCTTCAGTAGCTCAGCACCCAAGGGCTGGAAGTCATGTGCTTTAGCCGGGCTTTTGAGGCCTCAGCTCCTGAACACACTTCTGTCTCTGCTGCTCTCACTTCTTGGAAATGTCCCCTCGTCCTTCTTCCCTTGCCCAGTTCCTAAGATTGTCCTTCCAGACTGCCTTCCAACATCAGCTGTGCGGCCAGCAATGCTCCATCTCCTTTCTTCTGTTATCCCACCCCTGTGGGCTCTGAGCCCCTCCTCCTAGACCCCCACAGCCTTTGCACTTCTCTGGGTCACACACCAGGAGAATCAAAGTTCAAGGCCAGTCAGGGCAATTTAGCAAGATCCTGTCTCAAAATAAAAATTTAAAAGGGGTCCGGGTGTAGCTCAATGGTAGAGCACTCCTGGGTTCAATCCCAGTAACACACCCACACACACGCCTTTCTAAGAGTCTATGTCAGGGCTGGACAGCGGCTCCTAGGGGAAGGAGCCCTCCGGTTCATTTCCTGTCACAGCACGCTCTCAGTAAACGTCTGCCACCTCCCTGTGGACCCCTGGGATGCAAATCTTGCTTGTGTAAAGAGAGACTCAACTCCTAACAGAGAAGACCCTCCTTCCAGCTAGCCTCCCTCTCTCCAGCTGCAGAGGCAGCCCAGGAACTGTCACATCACGCAGGGCAGGGCCGGGAGCAGGTTTCAGTGTGCGAACCCCACCCTCAGCTTGCTGCACTGGGTGATGTTCAGATTGGGGGTGGGGAGGCAGGGGAGGCTTGGCACAGGATAAGGGACTCCATTGCCCAGCCTGGTAAATAGTCCTGCCTGGAGAGCCTGTTAATCTCCATTCTCGATCTTTGTTTTTTCCAGTAAAGATGGACCACCACCAGGTCAGCACAGCCGTGCCCTAGCGGGGCAGAACTCGGGGCGCCTTTACAAGGTCACTTCCAAGGACCTGTCCTGGCCGCAAGAACGGCAGAGTCAACTGGACCAAGACAGAGAGGACCTGGGGGGTCCGAACACCCACCTCAAGTCCTTGCCCACCTCAAGCGGTGGGCCCAGACCCCGGCTGCGGGATGCTCTGGCTCCGGGCTCCCACCTGGAGCCGCGGAGGGCGGGCCTCTAGGGGGCGTGGTCTCCCGGGGGCGTGGTCTCCCGGGGGTGGGGCTTCTGCCGGGCGAAACCTGCCGGGCTCCTCCCGGCACAGTCTGCCCGGAGCCGCGCGCTGCGAGTCCCGCCGCAGCTGGCGACTTCACAGCCTCTGTCCCATGGCCGGATCTCCCCGCCGCGCCGCGAGCCGGCGGCTGCAGCTGCCCCTGCTGTGCCTCCTCCTCCAGGCTGTCACCATCATCCTCTTTGCCATCTTTGTCCGCTACAACCACGAAACCGACGCTGCCCGCTGGCACTGGGGCAACCACAGTTACGCCAACAATGAATTTTACTTTCGTTACCCAAGTGAGTGCGGGCGAGGGCGTGGAGGGGACCTGAAGAGCCTCCACGCTCCTGGGTGTCTCGGGAGGGAGCTCTTGGGTGCTCAGATCTGTCCCTAGGTGGGCAAGCCTCTCGCTGAGACGAAGGGGCCTTTCTCTAATTGGAAATAACCCTTTCTCTAGCGCCTGCCAGGTTCCGGGTACTGTGCTGAGGATGGCACATGCCTGCCCATTTAGGCTACGAGACAAAGGTGAGGTTCAGAGAGGTTAAGTGATTCGATTCAGAGACACACAGGAAGAAGTAGGAGAGTTGGGATTTGAATCCAGATCTAAAGCCCCACTTTTAGCCATTCTCTTGCCCCACTTCCCATTTGACCTAACTGGGCTTTGCTAGGCTGTTCCAGAGAATTGGCCTGTTCTAGGGGCTTTGCCCTCACTACAGGAAAGAGAATCTAGCTGGGCAGGAGGTGTAGTGGTGGGGTAGGGTGGGAGGTGGGGTGTTGGTGGTAGTAATGGCAGGTATTTTATATATATATAATTTTCAGTTGTAGATGGACACAATACCTTTCTTTTATTTATTTGTTTTTATGTGGTGCTGAGGATTGAACCCAGCGCCTGCCACATGCTAGATGAGCGCTCTATCACTGAGCCACAGCCCCAGCCCCATGGCAGGTATTTTGTATGAAACCTTCACACCTGGAAGCATCCAAGAGTGGTTGGGATTTGGGCGTTTCTCCCCAGGACCCCAAAATTGGCCTTTCTAAGCCAGAGAGAAAATGACATAAGCAGCTACCAGCTAACCACAGAGCAGTAACCCCAGACATGGAATGAAGGCATGGGAGGGCATTACCCATCACCCATCTTGTGAGTGACAGAGCTGGAACTAGGCTTAGGCATCCTAAGCTCCTTGTACCACAGGCCACTTGCCCACTGACAAGGTTCAGAGGGGGCGGTTAACCCCCCTCACCACCTAGATGGGGACGGAGCCTGTCCCTTAATGTTGGGTACCCTGCCTTGTAACTCAGGGCCTCAGCCACTTGGAAACAAGACCTGCCAGACTCCATCACAAATGCTTGAGCAGTTCTTTGAAACTCAGTTTTCCCCATCTGAGCAACAGGAAGAAGGATACCTCAGAGTGAAGGTTCTAAACTCCAGCAAGCCCAGCATGTGACAGTCTCCTATAAAAACATCCAGGCTGTTATTACCCTACTTTCTATATGCAGTGCTGGTGGCAGGCTGTCCCCACCTCACCCTGACCCAGTCCCAGTCAAATGAAGTTCACGATGCTGAGGATAGACAGGCTCAGGTGGAGGCTTGGACTTGGGCATGACCCACCAGACCCCCAGCCACGCTAGGCAGAAGGGGCTACGGTTCCTCACTCCCCACATTTTGTCCCCAGCCTCGACTGGAAAAGATGAGCCATGGAAGCTGGGATCAAAAGCAGGGACCCGGCTGGGCTTGGTGGCACCTGTAATCCCAGCAATTTGGGAGAATGAGGCAGGAGGATGGCAAGTTCAAGGCCAGGCTACAGAACTTAGTGAGATCCTGTCTCAGAATAAAATAAAAAGGCTGGGGGTGTCCAGAGGTAGAGCACCCCGGTTCAATCCTCAATACTGGCGGGGGGCGGGGGGGGGACAGGAAAGAAAACAAGGTAAACAGATGGGCCAGAAAGATGGGAGCTGGTAGGAGGAGTCTGAGGGGCTGTCTGCCATGGGCCCGCCACTTGCTTCTCCTGTAGATGTCACACAAGGCTGGAAGCCCTGCCTGTTCCTAAGTTCTGCCTGGAATCCATCCCTCTCCCTGGCTGCTGCAGTGCTGGGCTCTTCTATGACACACGGCTGCAGAGCAGCCCCGGGATTCCTACCTCTCTTTCTGCCCCAGGTTTCCATTCTGGTGGACTTTGACCTTGCAGTGGGGGAAGGTCAGGCAGGAGGGAGGTGTGAAGTCCCTAGAGCCTGGGGCTTTGAAGAGCCGGTTCTCAGCTGTCCCAGTGTCCATGGGAAGGGGTCAGGGTCAGGGGGAGGTGTAACCACCGCTTTGATGAAAGAAAGTCCTGAGCTGCTGGTCAGCTGCAGGACTGCCAATGTCAAGGGCATGTCCACTCCCAGGGGTCTCTTTGTATCTGTAACCTGGGCCCTCAGAGCCTATCGGGTCAACCCCTCTCAGATGTGGGGAGAGAGCCAGAGAGGTCCAGGGACCTGCCTGAGATCACACAGCAAGCTACAAAAGGAGCCAGTCTAGCACCAGTTCTCTGGATCCCCGTCCACAGCCTTTCCCCAACCCTGCAGGCCTCTCAGTCCACAGGACTAAGGATGGAAAATAAGAAAGGAGTCCAGGGCTGCACAGGCCACAGAAGGAACAGGAGAAAGAAAGCAGTATGGGGGCTGGGCTGGGGCTCAGCGCAGAGCGCTCGCCTAGCACTTGCGAGGCCCTGGATTCCATCCTCAGCACCACATAAAAATAAAAAAATAAAATAAAGGTATTGTGTCCACTACAACTAAAAAAAATGAATATTAAAGAAAACAATATGGATGATCTGTTTTATAATTTTATTATTTTTTAATTTTAGCCAGTACAACTTTAGACACATCTGAGATCCTACCTATGGGAAGAGGGATTTAGGATAGGTGGGAGCAAGCAGGGCACCAGGACACATGTCTATAATCCCAGCTGCGGGAGGCCGAGGCAAGAGAATTGCAAGTTCAAGGCCAGCCCAGGAAATTTAGCAAGACCTTCAGCAACTTGGGAAGACCCTGTGTCAAAATAAAAAATAAATAAGGGCTGGGGACATGGCTCAGAGGTGGAGCACCACTGGGTTCCAACAGTACCCCTCAAAAAAGGAGGGGGGAATAGGGTCATGTGACCAGGACCAGAGTGCCTTGTGACCTCTTCTGGGAGAATACAGCTCCTTGATCTCCTGGGGGCAGGTGTGGTGGAGTGGAAATGGTACAAGTTGGCCTCCTGGGTCCTCCCTCCCTGCTCCCCACTCCCTTGTATACACCTTTTTAAATCCACTCTTTATAGATGATGTCACAGAGGCTTAAGAGAGGCTAAGTGTTTTGTCCAAAGTCACAGGTCAGGGGGTGGCCAGTGGGTGGGGAGGCTGGAATTTAAGTCTGACTTTGACAGATGCTTAAGGCCCAGCTTTAACTTGTCACCTTGCCTCATCTTTGTGTCAGGAGTCACCTAGCTGGGTTGGGGAGAGGCAGTAAGGGAAGGGTGGAGAGCAATCCGAAGCTCTAGAGGCCTCTTACCTTCTCTAACCAAAGATTGCTTGGGGCTGGGTGCACACCTGCAATCCCTGCAATTTGGGAGGCTGAGGCAGGAGGATCACAGGTTCAAGGCCAGCCTCGGCAACTCAGTGAGGCCCTAAGCAACTTAGCAAGACCCTGTCTCAAAATAGAAAATAAAGAGAGCTGGGGATGTGGCTCAGTGGTTGAGTGCCCCTGGGTTCAATCCCTGGTGGGAAAAAAAAAAAAAGTTGATTGGGTTAGGGAGGGGTAGGCTGCACCCCACCCCACACAGAAAGGAATGTTGGGAGGCCTTATCTGTCCTCCTGCCTTCAACCAGAGTAGCCCTTCACCCACCAGAGCTCAAGGAGAAGCTGTGTCTGGAACAGCCCCCAGGGAGGGTGTTCCTTGATGTTTAGACTACAGTTGAAAGAGTTATGATTCCAAACAAGCCTGGCTAAGGAGTTCTAAACCTCGCCACCGTTCAAGACAAGTTCTGGAGGGGTTTCTTATATGAATGTGCTGGAGCCCCACCCCCCATTATCTTGTCCTTGGGAACAAGAACAGACATGGCCTCCTCTCTACTATTCGTACAAGGAGAAAAGAAATCAGGCTGCGAGGCTTAGGAAAACTAGGCTGGAGGCTGAGGTCTACGTGTGGCTTCCTTCTTTTGGGTTGTGAGATCTGGGTGACCTCAGCGGGGCTGGAGAAGCAGTGCAGGGTTGGGGACGTAGTGAGGCCAGGAGGTCTCCAGCCCCTCACTCCCTTGGCTACCGGCACTGGCAGCCAAGCTGCAGACCTCCAGTTCCAGCTCAGGCCCAACCCCCTATTTACAAAACTATTTCTTATGCAACATTAAATATAGCACTTTTAAAAAAGCATAAAACCCAGGTGTGGTGGATACACCTCCCTAGCTCCCAGGAGGCTGAGGCAGGAGGATCACAAGTACCAGGCCAACCTGGGCAACTTAGCAGGACCCTGTCTCAAAATAAAATTTAAAAAGGACTGAAGATGTAGCTCAGTGGTAGAGCCCTTGCTTAGCATGCGCAAGCGCCTGGGTTCTGTCCTAGTACTGCAAAAGAAAAAAATGAAAAAGCATAAAAGTCAGCTTCTCTCGAAGTTATTGATTGCATTATAAAATTCCATAACAATTTTCCAGCTTGTGGATACCTCTTCAGATTAAGCAAACAAAAAAATTTGTTTTTTTCTATTATAATCTAATTCTTCTATAAGAGATTTAGGGTCACTTACAACGAAAATGTGTATAAGATGAATATGCCTGATCTAAGATGTTTTGGATTTTATTATATATGGAGGGGAGAGTATCTTGGGATGTGACTCAAGTCTAAAGAAATTCCTTTGTTTCATATATACCTTTATACACATAGCCTGAAGGTAATTTCATACAGTATATTTATACATAAATTTTGTGTACCTGTATTTTTGTTTTAAATCAGGGATTCAACCTAGGGGTGCTTAGCCGCTGAGGGACATCCCACCCCTTTTTATTTTTTATTTTGAGACAGGGCCTCACTAGGTTGCTGAAGCTGGCTTTGAACTTTTGCTCTTCCTGCCTCAGCCTCCTGAACTGCTGGGAGGTACCACCAAGACCAGCGTGTGGCAGCATTTTGACTGTGACCCATCGGATGAGGTCATTGTGGAATTTTCCTAAAGAATATTTAAAACATTTATGATGCTCTTTCTTTTTTTTTTTTAATTTTTTTTGAGACAGAGAGAGAGAGAGAGAATTTTTAACATTTATTTATTTTTTAGTTTTCGGTAGACACAACATCTTTGTTTGTATGTGGTGCTGAGGATTGAACCCGGGCCGCACACATGCCAGGCGAGCGAGCTACTGCTTGAGCCACATCCCCAGCCCCTTATGATACTCTTTCTTTAGTTTTATTATTATTATTATTATTAAAGCCAAAAGTATAGCTTGACATCTCCACAGACAGACTCAAGATAAAGAAAATAGGACCAGATGAGGTGAGGAAATGTCTAAGTTGCTTCAAACCCTATTTAGAAGTTGATGTGGGGAAGAGGTAACAGAATGAATTAATACAAATTACTTAATGATTATTTGTATTTCTCTTATTTTTGATATCACTGCATATATTTTTATTAGCTTAGCTTTTTATGCTGGTAGATACAGAATAGAAAGCGAACAGAAGAGGCCCCCGATCTTCCTGTCCGAAAACCCACTGGTACTCTGAAAGTTCAAGTCATTCATCTATAAAGTTAAAATATTCAGACTATACAAAGAAACAACCAAAAGAGTAAAATCTGGAGAACACCTGTAAACTCAGCCTCCTGGGAGGCTGAGGCAGAAGGATTGCAAAGTGAGGACAGCCTGTCTCACACTAAAAAAATAAAAAGGTCCTCCCTCCTCTTGTCTCCAAATCAGACAGCTCCAGGGGATTCTTTCTGTTGAAGTTGTGTGTTACAGCAGCCTTGCCCCTCCCTCAATTCCTTTTCTCTGCAGTAATCTATGTTAACAATTTAAAGCTAGTCACCAGATTATTTTTAGTTGTACATTCTAAAGGAATAGGCATGGTGGTCGGAAATCAAGAAGGACTTACCTATAGAGTTGAAAAGAAACCAAAGGGGAAGAGAATTTAGAGCCCTGGAGAGGCCCAGGCTGCTACAGGAAAGAGCAGGGCGCACACTGGACTTTCAACTAGTTAGCTATAAAATGAGTAGGGGCAGAGAATGAGAAAATTCTCAGAGCAGAAGGTTCTAGTCCCTTGCTCTGACATGGGGGCATCAGGGATGGTCTGGGTCCCACTGCTCCAAGCTGGCCGGCTCTGGGCAGGTGGCTCAGGGCTGGGTGGCCCTGCCACGCCTGGGTAGTTTTATAGGCGTGACTTCACGCTTCAAGGCGGCCTTGGCTGGTAGGAGCCAGGGGCAGTGGCAGGGTGGCCGATGGGTTTATGGGGGTGGCCCGGGCGCCGCGGTGCTCACCGCCCCTGGCCCCCGCAGGCTTCCAGGACGTGCACGCCATGGTGTTCGTGGGCTTCGGCTTCCTCATGGTCTTCCTGCAGCGCTACGGCTTCAGCAGCGTGGGCTTCACCTTCCTCCTGGCCGCCCTGGCCCTGCAGTGGTCCACCCTGGTGCAGGGCTTCCTGCACTCCTTCCACGGCGGCCACATCCATGTCGGCGTGGAGAGGTGGGCAGTGGTGCAGGGAGCGGCGCTCTGGGGTCCCCCCCGGGCGGCTCCTGCCCCAGAGACACAGTTAAGCCCTTGTCCTTGGAGACCGGTCCCTGGCCCTGTTTCTGACCCATCAGTTGGTTTCCCCAGGTGTCCTGCCTGGTGTCCTTCCATCCCTGACCCACGACCAGCCCAGCTCACATTTGGGGGCCGCTGTGACCCAAGCGCTCCTAGGGGCAGCGATGGCCTCGCTGAAAGGGGCGGGGTTGAGAGGCGCCCTGGGCGCGGTTCTGGTTCTTGGTGGGCTTCGTGGGCCAATCTACAAGGAGGAGCGAGGCCTCCCTTGGACCCAGGGGAGAGGTGCCTCCCGCTGGCCCTCCCGGCCGGTGCCCGAAGCCCCTCTCCCGCCCTCTCCCCCGCGCACCAGCATGATCAACGCCGACTTCTGCGCGGCCTCCGTGCTCATCTCCTTCGGGGCCGTTCTGGGCAAGACGGGGCCTGCGCAGCTGCTGCTCATGACCCTGCTGGAGGTGGCGCTGTTCGGGATCAACGAGTTCGTGCTCCTCAACCTCCTGGGGGTGAGAGTCTGCAGGAATGGGTGAGGGTGTTGGGGTGGCCAGCGCCAGGCTCTGAGCTGGGCGAGCTGCCGGGCAGGGGCGGGCTGCCTCTCCACCTGCGCTCCTCCTCCCCAGGTGAGGGATGCGGGCGGCTCCATGACTATCCATACCTTTGGAGCCTACTTCGGGCTGTTCCTGTCCAGGGTCCTCTACAGGCGCCAGCTGGAGAAGAGCAAGCACCGCCAAGGCTCCATCTACCATTCGGACCTCTTTGCCATGATTGGTGAGGCCTCCTGTGACGGATGCCATTCAGGGGCTGGTTCCAGATCCCCCTGATCTGGGATGGAGGAGACCAGCTCCAGGCGAAGTCTTAGGGTGCTGCCTAACTAAGGTCCTTGGCTTTCTAGCTGGGAACTCTTCCAGCTTGGAATCTGCTCTTTTTATTTCAGTACTGGGGATTGAACCCAAGGCTGCTCTACCACTGAGCCACATCCCCAGCCCTATTTGTGTTTTGAGACAGGGTTTCTCTAAGTTGCTGGCCTTGAACTTGTGATCCTCCTGCCTCAACCTGCAAAGTCACTGGGATTACAGGCATGCACCAGTGCCTGTTCTTTGTCTTTGTGTGTGTGTGTGTGTGTGTGTGTGTGTGTGCATGCACTCCTGGAATAGAACCCCAAGGATGCCTAACCACTGAGTCACACCCCCAGCCCTTCTTATTTTTTATTTTGAGCAGCGTTTCACTTAGTTCCTTAGGCCTTCACTATGTTGCTGAGGCTGGCCTCCAACTTGCAATCCTCCTGCCTCAGCCTCAAGAGTTGCTGGGATTACAGGCGTGCACCACCATGCCCAACTGCTCATCATTCTTAATGGTTTTATGACATTCTTAGAACTCAGACCTGGGGTACCCACTTGGCTCAGATCCATCCCAAGGGCCCCCTTTTTTGTCTTTTTTTTTTTTCAGTACTAGAGATTGAACCTAAGGGTTGAGCTGCACCCCTAGTCCCATTTATTTATTTATTTATTTATTTATTTATTTTGGGGATTGAACCAAGGCACCTTTACCACTTAGTTACATCCCTAGTCTTTTTAATTTTAAGACAGGGTCTCACTAAATTGCTGAGGCTGGTTTGGAATTGGGATCCTCCGACCTCGGGCTCTGAGTTGCTGGATTACAGTCATGTCCCACCATGCCCAGTTTTCCAGGGGCCTTTCTAAATCCACCTCCATCTTGCTTCAGATCTTCGAGGGCCCCCACAACCACACATTAGAAACAAGACCCTCATCCTGGGATACAGCCCCCTAGTCTGCTCCCTCACCCTCCCCGGTACTTGGCTCCCGCTCAGCTGCATTGGAGGGGGTCTGGTTTCCTGCAGATCTCCACCTCTGCCTGCCCCTGCTGCTGCCTTCCACCCATGAGGGCTCTCCCCTCTAGCTTCCCTGCAAGCCCCTGCACTGTCAGGCAGGGTAGGAGGAATCTTTGCTTCCCCCAGGGAGCGGCAGGGCTGGCCTGGGGGCCCTGTAACTCTGTTCCTCTCTGTGCATTTACAAACTGCGGTCAGCAGAGGACATCCATGTTATTTTTCATAGAAGGCACTGAACAGGGCCTGCAGTGCCTATTTTTACATTAAAAAAAGAGACTGAAGCGCTGGGCATGGTGCCTGTAATCCCAGTGGCTCAGGGGCCTGGGACCAGAGGATTGTTAGTTCAAAGCCAGCCTCAGCAATCCCTGAGCTACTGAGGGATGTGGCACGGTGGTCGGGTGCCCTTGGATTCAATCCCTGGTACAAAAAAAGAAAGAAAAAAAAAAGAAAAAAAAAAAAAAAAAAAAAGACTTGTTTTGAGAGATACATGCCTATGATCCCAGTAATTTAGGAAACAAGTAGGAGGATTACAAGTTCAAGGCTAGCCTGGGCAAATTAGCAAGACCCTGTCTCAAAAAAAAAGGCAGGGTGGGGGTGCTGAGGATGTAGTTCAGTGGTAAAACACACCTGGGTTCAATCTGTAGTACTGAAAACAAAATATTTGTATTTTGTATTTCTTGCCCCTCTCTGGGTTTGTTGTGAAACAGAGGGCTGCAATCTCCTTGACCTTTGAGACCCAGATAAGCTTGGCCTCAAGTCCAAAGGCTACCCCAGGATTCCCAGGCATCCTCAGATCTCTGCCTCCTGGCTGTTAGCGTGCAGGTCACTGAGGCAGGACCCTGGTCCCTGCCTCCACCGTCCCCCCAGTCTCCATGAGAGACAGCCCATGTCAGTGTGGCCCATTTTACCCAGGTCTGTGGGGTTGCAGGGAGCAGTTCCACCCAGCAGTCTCCTCAAGACTAAGGGACAGTCCTGAAGCCGCTTACCTGGCTGGCCCACCGTGCGGGGCCTCCGCCATCTCCCGCACCTTGTCCCTTGGCTCTTCCCCCCTCTCCCTGCAGGACTGGTCCATGAACCTCACACGTGATTCTTACCCCAAAGGCTCGGCTCGGGATGTCCATTACTGAGCAGACAGCCCATGCCCAGTCCACCTTCTCTAGGAGGTGGCTGAGGTTCTAAAACAAATGGTTTTCCTGATAAAGGCACCCAGAATAATGCCCCATGTGCAGTAACTTTGGTCTTTATTCTCCTCTGTTTTTTTGTTTTGTTTTTGTTTTTTGGTAACAAAGATGCTTAACACAACTAAGCACAACCCCCCCACAGCCATTTTTAATATTTTATTTAGAGACAAGGCTTCGCTGAGTTGCTTAGGGCCTTGCTAAGTTGCCAAGGTTGTCTTTGAACTCATGATCCTCCTCCCTCAGCCGGGAGAGTTGCTGGGATTACAGGCATGTGCCACCGTGTCTAGCTCCTCTCCTTTTCTGATACTTTAAAAAAAAATAATAATAAAATGAAATGAAACAAAACGGGCTGGCATGGGGCTCAGTAGTAAAGTACTTGCTTAGCATGTGTGAGCCTAGCACGTGTGAGGCTGTGAATTCAATCCTTAATCCCCATCAAAAAGATAAATAAATAAATAAAATAAAACAAAACACTCAGATAGGCACACCCGTAATCCCAGCTACTCAGGAGCCCGTGAGGCAGAAGAATCACAGGTTCAAGGCCAGCCTGGGCAATCTAGAGCAACCCTGTCTCAAAATAATAATGAAAAAAGAAGGCTGGGGATGTAGCTCAGTGGGAGAGTGCCCCTGGGTTCAAATCTCAGTATCAACAAGGCAAAAAAGAAAAAAAAAAACAATCATAAAACCTCAATGCTCTGTGGCTTGCAATCAGGTAGTTCCCAGTACCCTTTAATAGATACCATTTTTTGAGTTCTTTTTTTTTTTAAGGGTTGGGGGTGCAGGTGGTACTGCGGATTGCACTAGGCACGAGCTTTACCAATGTACTGCACGTCAGCCCCTTGTCAAGCACTTAGTACCTGCTAGGCCATGGCCTGTGTTCATCTGCACCATGTCCTTGAATCCTCACTTTGGTGCGGAGGTATTATCAGCCCCACCTGCCGAGGAAACAGGCTGCAGAGTAGGTGACTTGTCTGCAGTAACCGTCTCCCACCATGAGGGGGAGCCCTTCATTTCCTCTCACTCTGCCTGGCTGCCCATCATTTAGGAACCATCTTCCTGTGGATCTTCTGGCCTAGCTTCAACTCTGCACCCACTGCGCTGGGGGACACGCAGCATCGGACAGCCCTCAACACGTACTACTCCCTAACGGCCAGCACCCTCAGCACTTTTGCTTTGTCTGCCCTCATCAGTGGGGACGGGCGGCTGGACATGGTATGGGGAGAAGGCCTTGGGGGAGGCAGAGGGACAACCTACCAGGGGGAAGAGAGAGAGACTCTGCAGGGAAGTCTCCATGGAAACAAGCATAGGGGAGCTGTATCCACCCTGGTGGTGGTGGGGGGTCAGAATAGGAGACTATGAAAGCAGGAGAGTTAGAGGTTAGATGGCAGAGGGACTTCCAGAGCAGTAGATGTCTTGCGGACGGGGGTTGTGTTGAGTGTGGGTGGATAATTTGAAAGAGTCTCCAATGTCCTGTCCTTCCCTGTTCCCTTAGGTCCACGTTCAGAATGCAGCACTGGCCGGAGGGGTTGTGGTGGGGACGTCTGGCGAAATGATGCTGACCCCCTTTGGGGCTCTAGCCGCTGGTTTCTTGGCAGGGACTGTCTCCACGCTGGGGTACAAGTTCTTAACGGTACAGCTGCCTCTCTGGCCTGGGCAGAGCATGGTGTCACTTTCCTCCCACCTCCCCAGCAGGCCCAGAGTGGAGGTGGGAGGGGACAGGAGTCTGATTATTTATCCTGTCCTCCCTCAGCCCGTCCTTGAATCCAAACTCAAAATCCAAGACACATGTGGTGTCCACAACCTCCATGGAATGCCGGGGGTCCTGGGGGCCCTTCTGGGGGTCCTGGTGGCTGGACTAGCCACCCACGATGCTTATGGAGATGGGTGAGTTTCCCCCAATCTACAGCTGACATTATCCCTCTGGAATGCCCTCTGTCACTCTGTTCCTCTGTGTCTATTTTCACCCACCCATCCTCTGTCTACCCACCCATCCACCCACCCATCTATCCACTCACCTATGTAGCCATCCACCTACCCCTCCATCCATCCATCCATCCACCTACCCACCCACTATCCATCCACCCATTTATCCACTCACCCATCCAGCCATCCACCTACCCCTCCATCCATCCATTCACCTACCCACCCATCCATCCACCCATCTATCCACTCACCCATCCAGCCATCCACCTACCCCTCCATCCATCCATCCACCCACCTTCCCACCAACTATCCATCCATCCATCCATCCATCCATCCATCCACCTATCCATCCATCCACCCATCCACCTATCCATCCATCCATCCATCCACCTACCCACCCATCCACCCACCTACTCACCCATCTATCTACCCCCTCATCCACCCACCCTCCCATCCACTCACATTATGGGAGCCAAGGAAACTGGAGTGAAAAAGACCAATCCAGGCACTGTCCTGGTCAAATGCAACAGGAGGTCATTAAACAAATGATTTCAAGAATATGGAGTGTTATTAAAGGGTCAGTAAGACATAATGACCCTTGGGATCTGTTTTTGCACATCGGGACTAAGAGGAGAGGTGGGAAAGAATGACCTTGGACTGAGCCTTGAAAGGTGTGTGTCCGTTCCATGTGAGGGGCGGGGTTGCAGGCTGTGGCCTGCTTAAGCCAAGGTCTGAGGTTAGCCTGCCTACGGGGCTTTCCGGAAGCCCTCTGGCTGCTGGGCTGTCCACCGATGGGACCTGCCCTGTATCCTTGCTGCATCCTTGTCCCTCACCCCTGCTTCTCCACAACCTGGTCTCCCTGCAGCCTGGAGAGCGTGTTCCCACTCATAGCCGAGGGCCAGCGCACAGCCAAATCTCAGGCCATATATCAGCTCTTTGGCCTGTTGGTCACACTGGTGTTGGCCATTGTGGGCGGGAGCCTTGGAGGTGAGTGGTCTTGGATGGTGGTGGTGGGGGGACACTGGTAGGAGCTCCAAGGACTCAAGAACAGGAGAGGGAGTCTCTGGAGGAAGGGCCACTGAGTCCCTTGTCCCTGGCATTTAATTCATTTGCTCACAGATACTTACTGAGTGTCCAACTTATGCCAGAGGTCAGGTGGAAGGGTCAGGGTAACCTCCTTAGAGCGGGGGATTACAAATGGCTCTTGCTCCCTCCTGGTGTCAGGGAGGCTGGGGAGCTGGGTGCCACTGAGTTTCCCTTTTGTCCTGCTGGCTCCCTTGTGCTGCTCCCTGGGGCCACTAGAGGGCAGCCCAGCCTCAGGCTGAGGCCCAGCAGGGGCAGGCTCATCTAACGCCAGGCAGAGACCTGCAGGGAAGAGGCCTGCTCACCATTAGAATGGAGGTTTCACAAAAACCTTTGGATAGAGATACACAGCCCTGGGTCCCAGGTCAGGCAGTCCTTCCCGATGTCTGACCTTAAAAATAATTCCTCATTCAGGATCCCCACTTTCCTGCTCTCACCCCAAGATTTTCATTCTCTAGGTTCAGTTCATTCATCTAAGAACCGATTTACAGCATGCTCCTTTTCTGTGCTTCTCTTATGTGGGAGGCCACCGAAAACGCAGTGGCTCATGACAGAATAATAATTTGGTCAGCCCCTTACCAACTGCAGACTTGAGCATGTGGCTGAATTTCCCTGAGCCTTGGTCACCTTGTCTGAAATGCAGGGGTAAGATCCACCGCACAGGGCTGTGGTGACTTCTCAGGAAGCACATGGCACATCAGTAGGTGCTCAAAAACTGCAGCTGTGGTTTTCCTGTGCCAGGTGCCAGGTTGACCTCAGGCCTCCAGCCCCCTTGTGCCCTTGGGGCGATGAATGGCAGCCTCTCCTGGGGGCTGGGGTTAGAGAAGCCTCACGGGTCCTTCCCTCCCGCCACCAGGGCTCCTGCTGAGGCTGCCCTGCCTGGATGCCCCCCCAGACTCTCAGTGCTTTGAGGACCAGATCTACTGGGAGGTGAGGCGGCCACAGCCCTGGACCCCAGGCCTTCATGCCCTTTGACCTCCTGTGTTCCCCACAGCCCCGAGCTGTGGCCTGCAGCTCCCTGGAGCTCTCCCGTGGCCCCCTTCCTGCCTTCCAGGTGCCTGGGGAGTATGAGAATGAAGCCCAGGGACCCCTGACTGTGGAGGAACCAGACACTCGGGCCTAACCAGCTGCCAGCCCTTGAGAGGATATTCTCTTTTTAGAAGATGATGGCGGGGACTGGGGCTGTAGCTAGTGGTAAAGCACTTGCTCAGCATGTGCCACACCCTGGGATCGGTCCCCAGCATCCCCTGTCTCCACACACACACACACACACACACACACACCCCAGAAGATGTCCTTTAGAAGGTCTGGAGGGGGTGGAGGGACAGGAGGGAACTGGGTGGGGGAAGCCTGGCCAGCTGCCCCACCCCACTGCCCGACCAGCCTGCACATGGGGTAGAAGACGCCAAAGTGAGTCCTTTGGGCCAGTGTCACACAGTTCCAGTGATACCTAGGCCAGGCTCAGTGCCCTGGGGTAATAAACACCACCCTCACCCAGGATTCTGACTCCTTTTATTGGTGTCCGAGGTCACGTGGGAAGTTCCTCTGCCCTCTAACTCACAGCGTTAGAACCCAGAAGAAGGAAAAGATCCTCGTGGTGAAAACCTCCTTCCTCCCCGGGTCCATTAGTCTTTCTAGGAGGTCACGTCTTAAGAGTCAGGGCCCTGGCCTGGGCTTGTGTCTCCAGGGACAGGGAGAGCCTGTGTCTGTTCCAGCACAGCTCAGCTGCCACTCTGACCCTCAACTGGGATGGCCTCTGAGCAGAGCAGGACCAGGGGGCCCTCATGGGGGAACGCATTGCCTTCCCCTTAAGCTATGTGGCACCAACCCTCAGAAACTGCAGGCAGCCATCACCTAGGTGCCACCTTATGTTTCTGTCCTGAAACTGAGGAGTGAGGACAGGAAGGGCCTTGGGTCGCGGGGCTCTGTGGCACTGGACAAGAAAGGTGGGCCAGGGCCTCCTGTAGCCTGAAGTTATTCGACCACCAGGGGGCGCTCCAGATCCAGCAGAGGAAGAAGCCGTCTTCATGCCTCCCATTCTGTGGTTCTCTACCAAGAATTCATACCCCGGCCTTTTTTGAGCTCCCACTCTCTCCCCATTACATGTCAGGCAGAGGCCAGGGGTTTCAAGACTCTCACCCTGTAGAGAATCCGTCCTTCCAGTACGCTGACATCCCCTTCCCCACACTGAACCAGGGACCTTGCCTCCTGTCCCCCAGCCTCCCCTGACCCCTGATGGCTGGGGTAGGTGTGTTGGGGGTGAAGATCCCTGGGCTGAGGCAGGAGACTGACACCTGAGATTGCAAAACGGTCTTCTGTCACTGCCAGCCCCTGCTGGGAGAGAAGGAGCGAGTTTGGGAGAGCTGAGACCTCATCTCCCATTCCACCCTGTCTCGGCTCCCAGCTCCGCATGGGTAGAGGCCCAGCACGTTCACCCATCTTGGCCAAAAAGCTCCAACAGAGGTCTGAAAGAGGACTTCCCAGGGCAATTTAAGTATAGGGTAGCCCCCGCCCTGGCCCAGCCTCTTCTGGGTAGGGAAAGAGATGAATCTTATTCATTCGTGACATCGACATTTTATAGCCTTACCTTGTCCCTTAACTGATTTTTTCCATTATTTTTAATATTTGTAGCTGCAGATAGACATAATACCTTTGTTTAAATATTTTTGTTAGTTGTGGATGGATGTTTATGTATTGACGTGTGGTGCTGAGAATCTGACCCAGAGTCCCACCATGCCAGGGAGCAGTCTACCCCTGAGCCACCACCCCAGCCCTGAATGGCTCCTTCTGGATGATAACCAGGCCTGTTCTTTCAGGCACCTCCAGCTGAGGTGAACCACCCATCTTGATCCAGGAAGTCTTCCTGGAGAAGGGACAACCGAGCCCTCTAAGAGAGCAGTTGCCAAACCAATTTTTAAGGGACAAGTGTCCCGGGATGGCCTGCCAAGAGGTCTGAGAAAGGAGGGAAGGCGTAAGGGCTGTCCCTTGAGAGGTGGCCCTATATGTTCTGGAGCCAGATAGTTTCAAGCTCCATCGCTCCCTTGAAGTCCCCCATGGTTCCAGCAATGACACTGAGTGCCACCATACTGTGCTCCTATTTTCACTTTATTTCCTCCTTTTCTTCCCCCACATGTGGGGGCACATGGTGGGTAGCTTGTTCCATTTCATCCACCTGAGCCATTATTTGAGGTCTGGGCCAGGGGGTCATCATACCATTATGATTCAGCCAGGGAATTCCCAGGGCAAGCAGACAGGTGTCCTTAGAGCCCCTCGATATACAAGAGCTAGCCCCCCCTCCCAGCTCTTGCCTGTAGCTCTGGCTTCAGCCCTATTGGTCCCCCACACGGTGGCCCATCCATTCAGGCTGGGTCAACAGGGTGACAATGAGCAGGTCAAGGGGATGCCGGGGCCAGGGGCCAAGGGGGCTCCTTCTCCACCCATTCGGGACAATGAGGCTCTGCCCCTTGAGGACAGCCCCTCTGATCACCACCATTATTAGTTTCAATGCAGGACAATCGGACACTTGCCCGCTCATGAACTCTGTCGAGCCCCAGTGCCTGAGCTCTGGGGATAATGATGGACGAGGACACTCTGGGGCCAGGGAGTGATGGGCTGTGCCGGGGTCAGGATGAGAGCCATTGCAGGACAGCTCTCTGGAAGCAGCCACTGTTCTGGCCTGGAGCAAGCGTGTATGGGCTGACCACAGGGTGGCCCGTCCAACGACATCTGGGTAGAAGGCCCAGGGACTTCAGGGTGCTTCTGTGCTGGTGCCACCAGAGCCTCCTGGACGGGGCGTCGGGAGCTGCCCCCTGACCTCTGGAGGACCCGCGCAGCCTGGGAAAGGCCCGGGATCCCCCCGATTGGGATTCACATCACGGCGCGCGGCAGCCCCAGCTC